CCCCCCCCCCCCCGGTCCGTTCGTTCCCGACGGCGCTGCCGATGTGGGCGTCTTTTTGTTCACTGTTACTGTTGCTGCTGTTTGGCAGCAACGCCCTCGGGTACAAGTCTATCGCGAAGATCCAACGACGTTGCTGCTGCCGACCGTCCGGTTGCCGAGAGCTCTCCGTCGAGGTGGATGGTAACTTCGTCTTCGAAGAGGTATGCATGAATGAAATGGTACAGGTTTGAGCACTACGAACTCATCATGGACGGCAGCAGCACGGATTCCGCTGCGGCAGAAGACAAGATTTCGACTTCCAATTGGTGTATTGAGAACACGAGTTCCACAGCAGTAGGGTTCTGCTGCCGTACGAGAAACAGGACACGAAACACAGGGTTGCTGTGTGCGGGATACGATACACGAGCACAACAATATCGCTTTTAACACAGGATCCACCCACAAATACGCATTCGCATTCAGTCGGGTTTCCTCTAGTAAGGGCGTGGGTATGTGCCTGGCCGATTCACACGCCCTGTATCGGGCTCCCACCCTAATGTTGAACCCGCACTATTGAGGGACCCCGACTGTAATGTTTCTGACCACGAAGATCGTTCTGACCCGAAGTTTGAGTTGATAACAACCACAGGTCTTGTCACACTCCGCGAGCATGCACCAAGTATTTACTGCTGCAGCATCTGTTGTTGTTTCGCTCTCTCCCGGACATGTCTCAAACGCCCCAACCCTCTTGTAACGGTGGTGGTATTTCGTTTTTGACGCGGTTTTGAACGAGGGAAGGTTTTGAACGCCGGCACCCACGGAGTCGGGTTCGTGGCTGCCATAATCGGGGCGTCCATACTCATGACGGAGGCTTCCCAGGAGGGAAAGAGCCCCGAGCACTTCTGGGGCTGCGCGATATTCTCGGCCAGCCTGATGTTTCTCTACCTGGCGTCGACTCTCTACCACAGGTTATGTTCGTATGAAGGCGTATGTGTTAATTTATTTTTTTCTTGGTAAACACTACTCCTATATATACTATGTATTTCTTTTTTCTTAATACATGACAGAGAAACCACCTCTTTCCACAGATGAGAGTTTTCTGGGTGCGGTAGCTCGTCAGAGGCCGAAAGAGAAAGGAGGTTGGCTCAAGACCTTGTTGCTTAGAGAGTGAGAGACATGCGGTAGGCAGCACCATCGCCATGCAGCATGCCCATCAACACGTTTCATCCGCGTACCCCCCCCGGAGGCCCCGTAGACAGTACTCTGCCGAGCATCCCAAACAGCCCCCCTGCTCGGTACGAGATACGATCTACCAAATCCTCGTCACGACTATCATTGCCAGGTAAAACGACAATAAATCAAGCTACGCATCCAAACGGAAATCATCCACCATTCTGTCAATTAACAAATCACCCTCTTGAGAAAATGCTCTTCTCAAGCAGTCAAACGCAAACAGTTACCCTTGGAAAGATACCAAGTAAAGATCAACATTACATCGGAGTTGCGTCAGAATGGGGACACGGGTAACTCCGGTACAACGTGCCCAAGTTACCCAGAACAAAATTCCTCAGATATAAATCATGTTGAACTCAATTACCAGTTCAAATAAGCTTCGGAAGCACAAAGGCTGCAACCATGACTTACCGAAACATGTCAAATCCTTCCTCCAATACATGGACATACCAGTACAAAAGCAAAGTCCGCAAACAAACCGATGAATTCATCCCAAACAAAAGTGTTCGGAAACAAGTGGCTAGTAAAACGTTAATCAAAACTGAAGCGGCTTCGATTCCTCCATCTCAGCGAATCCATCCAACAGCCCCCCTGCTGGGGCACCTCATATAAACGCATATAAAATCCCAGTCAATATTCAATTTCATATCAACTCCGCAGGTAAAACGCGGAAAATCTAAACGTGAACTACCAAACCCAATGTCAGAAACACTGCTTGTGCTGCGGCGGACAGCATGGTATCACATCTGGCGAAGACGATGGGTGGGCAAGTGCAGTTCACCAAGTTCGCTCACGGCAACTACATCCAGGCAACCCGCGTCGATCCACTGCCCATGTCCCCTGCGAGGGCCGCGGAGGTGATGCGGGCTAGAGCGGCGGCGTCGGCGGCGATTTCAGCGGCGACGACAGCGGCGCCCGGTGGTCGTGTTTGCCCCGCGGTGGCGGCGGGGAGAATGGCAGGAGCGCCCGCGTTGGCGGCTGGAGCGGCGGCATCGGCGGCAGTTCCGCCAACGGCGACGGCGGCGACATCCGGTGGCGGTGTTTCCCCCGCAGGGGCGACGGGGGGGATGGCCGGGGTCCCCGCGGTGGCGACAGGAGCGGCAGCGTCGGCAGCAGCTCCAGCGGCGACGGCGGCGATCTCCGGTGGCAGTGTTCTCCCTGCGGCCCTCGCAGGGGACATGGGCAGTGGATCGACGCGGGTTGCCTGGATGTAGTTGCCGTGAGCGAACTTGGTGAACTGCACTTGCCCACCCATCGTCTTCGCCCCGTGGGGGTTCATGACGATGTTGTACCTTTCCTAGTATCCGTGCAAAAGACAGAAGGTCCAGCGCCAAACCCGGCACAATACCATCACCCGTGAGCGTCACGCCCACATCTCTACGACAATGGAAAATCGCATCCCGGTCGCCAAAGAATTTAACCGGAACACGCCTGCCGTCGGCAAAAATGAGCAGCTGCTCCTCCGGGCGCGGTAGACGCCTGCTGTACACCTTCTTGTCCGAGCGAACCACGTGGATCTTGGCACTGGTGTATCCCAGGAAAATCGTGGCACCCGGGCGATTCGGGAAAAGGACAGGCATCGCACGCACAAGTTGTTGCCTCTGTCGCATCTGCTACTGCGGCTGTTGGTAAGTCTGACGAATAGCAACACCACGAGACCACTGCTGCAACTGCAGTCGCGGCTGGGGTTGGGCACTACCTGCTCGCTGTTGACGTTGTATTTGCCGCTGCTCATGCTGCGGATGCTGGGCAAGACGCAGGTGGCATGGGCGTTCCAGCGCTGCTGTTGTTGTGGTTGCTGCTGCCTAAGCCTCTTCGCCTCATACTCGGCAGCCTCCGCAGCTCTAAGCGCCTTCACCATCCTCTCCACCTCCGACTCGGCAGCTCGTAGCTTCTCTGCTGCGTTGCGCGACCTCTCCTCCACAGCTCAGCTTGTCTGCTGCGTTGCGCGATCTCTCCTCCATCTTCATGCGCACAACTGTAGTCTCCTCCCTGTGCGAAATCTCCTCCTATTCCGCCGCTTCACTCCGCTTTTGTCTACACTTGAAAAATATCCCGTACCCTGTTGTCCCAGCCCTGAAGCGCTGTCCCAGCAATACACCCTCTGCTGTCCCGGNAGCTTGTCTGCTGCGTTGCGCGATCTCTCCTCCATCTTCATGCGCACAACTGTAGTCTCCTCCCTGTGCGAAATCTCCTCCTATTCCGCCGCTTCACTCCGCTTTTGTCTACACTTGAAAAATATCCCGTACCCTGTTGTCCCAGCCCTGAAGCGCTGTCCCAGCAATACACCCTCTGCTGTCCCGGTCCCCGATGGCCACCGTCCCAGCTTTACTCTACCCGCTGCCGTACTGTCCCGTCCCTGTTGGCCACGTCCCAGCTTGGCTATATACTCCAGGAGTATATCGTGTTCGCCGCCCTATTGGCCCGGCGCATACAGCTCAGACGCCAATACCCACGACCTACAGCAGGCCATACAATATATTGTGTTTGGGTGCGGTAGCTCGTCAGAGGCCGAAAGCGAAAGAAATGTTGACTCAAGACCTTGTTGCTTAGAGAGCGAGAGACATGCGGTAGGCAACACCATCGCCATGCAGCATCCCCATCAACACATTTCATCCGCGTACCCCCCCGGAGGCCCCGTAGACAGTATACTCTGCCGAGCATCCCAAACAAGAGTCCAGGGTGACATTGCAATAACTCATGGCATTAGCGGAGCAATAGCGCTTGTGTGTTGATGCACGTGACATTTTTAATGCCGGAAGACCAGAAAAACGTATTTATTTTTTGAAGAAGATGGGGAGCTGAAGATACATTCCGAGAAACGCAGAAAAATTGAGAGACGCTGTACTTGAAGGGGAGGATCACAAGAAGATACCCAACTAGGTCCTATCCAATGTGTCAGTAGCTCTTGCTTGACGGTGAGGAGTGAAGTGAGATCTTTGAACTTCGCAACGATAGTTGGTACGTTGAGGATGAGGTCGTCGGTTTCAGCGATTGTGTGTTGTTGGCGCTACCTTGCGGCAAGTTTGGTTTTCCTCTGCCTAGATGGCGTCGACTCGTTCCCACAACAGGGGTTTAGGTGTACAATGTATAGTATATAGAAAGAGACGTACTTCATTCAAACTTCGAAGTGTTTCGTACGATGTTGAAACATCGCTCTTCTTCCCTCAATAAAGAAAGTCAGCTTTCGACCGTGGTTAATTACATATCTCAAATGGGCAGTCTTTCTGTGTTTTCATGTATTGTCTTTTTTCTGAAAACAAACTCATGTCGCTCTTTTTCGCCCCCTGCCCTGCTACTGCCCCCTCCGTTCTTCTCCGTTTTTCTTTGTTGCTCTCCTTGTTTTCTTTGCCTGGGGTCAGCTTCTTCATGCTACCGTACGTGAGCGGCCTCCTCTGCATCGCCGACCACTGCGCCATCTACATCCTCATCGCCGGCAGCTACACCCCGTTCATGCTCATCTCGATGCACGGGAGCTCCCTCGGAAGTACGGTCATCATTGCGCAGTGGCTGTGTGCTCTCTTCGGCTGCCTCTTCAGCATGACAAGGTGTGTGTGTGTCATCTCACGCTGTGTGATACCATGGTGTGGAACAAGAACGGTCGTCATGTCATCCCAAGTTGTCTCGGCTCCTTCAGAGCACCGTTGGCCTAAATTCTCATGACCGATCGACCGCTTGGCGAGAAATTGAGCTTAAATGAGGAAGAAGCCGAACAGGGAGGGATTTGTACGCAGACCCCTATCCCTAAGCCTACTTCCATGATTGCATGCTTTATGCGACATGTTTACTTGGTCGTAAAAAACTGCCAAGGGTACCGAATTCTGCAGGCACAACATCTTGGTCTTTCGCTCTCTGCTTTGCCCGCTCTCTTGTCTCTGTCTCTCTCTGTCTCTCTCTCTCTCTCTCTCTCTCTCTCTCTCTCTCTCTCTCTCTCTCTCTCTCTNTCTCTCTCTCTCTCTCTCTCTCTCTCTCTCTCTCTCTCTCTCTCTCTCTCTGTCTGTCGAGTCTCGCGACAGAGAGAGTGACACACGAGAGCCCCCAACATTCGGGGTCCCGTGTACCATCCGACCCATTGGTGCAATATCCCTAAGTATATCCATTCCACGGAGCCACGAGTCTCCGTAGACCTGTGACTACCATTGGCAAAAGGCAACAAACCTCTCCGGCAGCGAGCTGAGTGATGCCGAAGCACAAATTGTCTTAAGGACGTCGAGGAATGGCGCTCTTCCGGGTTGGCATTATCAATACCTAATCATTCCAACAATTAATCTCTCGCGGGCTCGTGTGGTACATATATTGTACTGAGAGAACATGTACGACGCGCTCTTTCTCTGTCGCCTTGCGATATTGTGTTGAGACGCAGAGAGCGACCTCACCGGCGTCGCACGCTCGCGGTGTGCGTGACGAAAGTTATGGGTATCTCGCCATCTAACTCCTGTTTTGACGTTGGTTAAGTGCTGTGACGAAGTAGTGGTATCTCGGCATATAATTCTTGTCGTGACGTTATTTAACTGCTGTTACGAAAGCTATAGTATCTCGGCAGCTGTCCCCTGTTTTGACTTTATTTGACTGCTCTCTTATGCCCGTCTCTCCGTGACCCGCACTCACTCAACGTCGTGGAACACCAAAAACAGTTACTCCTTGGACTTTAGGGGAACCATGTACGTGGAGCTCACCTTGTACCTTGGCCTGGGGCTTTCCGTGCTGCTCGTGTGGGACTCGGTTCTCGAGCACATGCACCAGGGGGAGCTCATGCTCATTGCCGGTGAGTTCGAGATCGTGAGGGTCGATGAGCATTCCCGAAAATCACTATTTGAAGACTATCATCAAAAATGAATAAATGAACACCCCCATAATAACACTTGTAAACGTTGAGGGTGTACTTCCTTGGTTTTCCCACAACCCCTTTCCCGTTTCCGTTGTCGTCGACATGGTCGTCATTGTTGGGTGTCTTGTCGTCGTTGCTGTCGTTGCTGTCGTTGCTGTCGTTGTTGTCGTTGCTGCTTTTGTTCATGCTGTTGTGTTCTTCGTACTTCATGATGCGATGGCTGGGCTGCGTGTTGTTGGGTGCGCGTATGGCCTGCGTAGAGTGGTGGTGCTTGCTCTGTCCGTGTTCGTGCTGTTGTTGTGACGTGTTGTCGTCGTCGGGGGGGGGGGGGGGGGGGGGGGGGGG